ACGGCACTGCCCTTGCCAGCCTAGGTCTGCGCTTGCAGCTCTGCCATCATTCTCCAGCACCTTTCTGCTTATCGCCATCACGCCAGACCTCTTTATGCGAAGGTGCTGTTTCGTCCTGCCTGGTGCAGGGTCTGAGTGCTGCGGCTCGCACCATGCTGCAGCACCCAGAGGACAGAATTAGCCGCACTGCACCCTGCAGGCTGAGCCCGTCAGGCCCTGGCCTAGGACTGCAGCCTCTCCCCTCAGACCCGTGAGGCAGGAACCCCTGAGTGCGTCCCTGGAATGGGGTGAAGGCAGGTGTTGGTCCAGGGCAGACCCCTTGAGTCAGGGCAGACCCAGGGCTCTGCGTTCCTGGAGTGCGTCTCAGGATGTGCTGCAGCCAGTGCCCAGCACTGCCTGTCCAGGTCAGGAGAAAGGGGTGCTTTGTGAGGGTGCAGGCGATCCCTGGAACAAACGCAGCTTTCTGTGCCACCCCAGGAAGGCCCCCACCTCGCCCCCAGCTCCCGAAGCCAGGCGGCTGGAGGCTGGTGGGCCTGGGCCTGCTAACAGCTCTGTGTTAGCTCTGTGACTGCAGAATCAGAACCGTGGTGTCCGTGACACGGCTCACTGTGAGGAGTCAGTGGTGGCATGACGCGTTTCACATCTGTTGAGTCCTGCACATGCCCAGGGCTGCAGAACCCAGCTGGCAGCAGCCAGACAGTGGAGCCAGGCCTTGCTATCCCCAGCAGAGGCGCCTTGCTGCCACCCCACCTGCACTTCTGCATCCGCTGCCTCCAGCTCACCGCAGAGGGTCTTGACTCTTACTTGGATCTCAGAGAACTCTCAAAGCAGTCAGGTGCCGTCCCCGCTTCGTTACTGCAGACTTCTTGGCTGGTGTCGGGCTCGGCGTTGTGTCCTCCGCAGCTCAGAAGGGTGACCGGCTTGTCCTGGGGCCAGCTTGGTGGGGCGCGGGGCAGGCAGTGGGTGCAGTCCTTGGGTCAGCTTGGCAGAGCACAGGGTGGGCAGTGGGCACAGACCTGGGGCCAGCTTGGCCAAGTGCCGAGTGGACAGTAGGCACAGATGGCCAGGAGGTGTGGAAGGCAAGCAGATCCTGGTGGTGCTGGTGGTGCTGGCCACAGGGCAGGGTGGGTGCACTCCGTGGCAGGACGCTCGCTCACACACTTGGAAGTCATTAACATAAATGCTACTTAGATGTTGCCACAAGAAAATGAAGTTTGAGAGGCAGAACAGAAAGAGTTCCCACCGACTAGTTCACTCACCCCCTCCAGACCCTGACCCGGCCTGCCCACAGTGGCCGGGGCTGGCCTAAGCAGCCCCAGGCTGGCATTGGGAGCCAGGAATTTAACTCAAGTGGCTGGCGGGGACCCAGTTAGGTCTCTGCTGCCTCTCTGGGGGTGTATCAGCAGGAAGCTGGGCCTGGGAGCCGGAACCAGGTTTAACCAGCACCCCGACATGGCCGACAGGTCAAGGCCCGCCCTTAAAAGGAAATGTCGATTTGTAAGGCAGTGAGAGGGAACTAGAGACAAAACACAGAGATCTTCCATCTGCGGGTCATTCCACACTGCCTGCCGTTGTCAGGGCTCAGCTGGGGTCTCCCATGTGGGTGTGGCAGGGCTGAGCCAGGAGCCCACAGGGGTCTCCCATGTGGGTGTGGCAGGGCTGAGCCAGGAGCCCACAGGGGTCTCCCATGTGGGTGTGGCAGGGCTGAGCCAGGAGCCCACAGGGGTCTCCCATGTGGGTGTGGCAGGGCTGAGCCAGGAGCCCACAGGGGTCTCCTGTGTAGGTGGCAGGGCCCCAGGGCTTGAGTTACCATCTGCCATCTCCCTGTGAGCATGTCAGCAGCAGACTAGGTTGGGAGTGGAGGAGCTGGGACTCAACCAGACACTCCATGCAGAGTAGTCTTTTAGCTGCTGTGCCACAACCTCCCCCCAGGTCTGCCCCTGCAGGGGTGAAGTCCCCTCTTCTCCCTGGCGGAGCCCCACTCACCTGCAGAAGCTGGTCCTGCAGGGGTGAAGTCCCCTCTTCTCCCTGGCGGAGCCCCACTCACCTGCAGAAGCTGGTCCTGCAGGGGTGAGGTCCCCTCTTCTACCTGGGGGAGCCCCACTCACCTGCAGAAGCTCCACGCGGCGGGTGGTCCTACCAACAAGGCGCTCAGGGCTTTACACCAGTGACGATTTACATATTTAAAATTTTTTTTTTTTTTTTTAGTTTTTGGAAAGGCAGAGAGACAGTGACCTTCCACCCTCAGGCTCCCTTCCCAGAGCAAAAGCCAGGAGCCTGAAGCTGTCAGGGTCTCCCCCTGGGCAGCACTGCCCCGGGGATGCTGCACTCACTCACAGCATCTGGAGTCAGAAGTCGAGCCAATCCTCATAGGCATTCCACGTCGTGCACACCCACGTGGGTCTTGTGCACCTGGAGCCCTGGCAGGTTGTGCCCAGTGGGTGGGCAGCTGCACGGGTGTCCTCACACCCATGTCTGCGCACAGCATGGAGTGTTGGTGCCCCGACCCCAGAGCACCGGTGGTCCATCCGGCCGTCTACGTTCTGTGACCGTCACTGCGCAAAACCAAGTGTGGGTCACACTTAGTTGACTAAATGACCCTTTTCAACATGAATTAACAAGGTGACCGCCGACCGTCAGCGTGCGCCTCCCCAGCGGTCCTCGCGGCCACTCGTCGGAAAGGCGCATGGAGTCACGTCTCAGCCAGGTTACATCGACACTGACCCACAGGTTCTCACAAGCCTCTTGATAATCAATGTGAGTTAGCAGAGGAAACCCAACCTCAGGGGTCAAGACTGTCTGTTCCAGACAGTTGCTGATGATCAAACACGGCCCAGGGCCGCGGGCGCGTCTTCCTTGGAGAGGTGGAACCCATCGCAATAGGGTCATTATGCTTTCATTGCTGAATTGCCTGAGTTCCTCCTACATTTCAAGACTTATTTTTATTGGAAAGGCAGATTTATAGAGAGAAGGAGAGAGAGAAAGATCTTCTGTGTGCTGGTTCACTCCCCAAGTGGCTGCGACGGCTGGAGCTGAGCCGATGTAAGGCCACGAAGTTCTTCAAGGTCTCCCACGTGCATGCAGGGTCCTGAGGCTTTGGGCTGTCCTCGACTGCTTTCCCAGGCCACGAGCAGGGAGCTGGATGGGAACTTGAGCAGCCAGGACACGAACCAGTGCCCATGGGATGCCGGGGCGTACAAGGTGCCGGGGCCATCACGCCAGGCCCATCCTCCTGTATTTTAGAAATCAACCCTGTCTGATTTCTCCCATTCTTTTAGGTAGTCTTTCACTACAGCATTTTTAATTAATTAATTAAGTTTTCATGTTTGCATTGTATTTTTTAAAAGGGTTATTTGAGATGAGAGCTGGTGACATAGCTGGTAAAGTGACCCCCTGCAGTACCAGCTCCCTGCTCCCTGCTGTAGGCCTGGGAACACAGCAAAAAATAGTCACATCTTTGGGACCCTGTACCCATGCGGGGGATCTGGATGAAGCTCCCGGCTCCCTGCTTCCAGCTGGCCCAGCTCCGGCCCTTGTGGCCATTTGCAGAGTGAACCAGCAGTTGGAAGACCTCTCTGTCTCTCCACATGCCCCTCTAATTCCACATTTCAAATAAAATAAAGAAGTCTAAAAATGCTTACAAGAGAAACACTTTAAGGACACAAACTTTGCTAAAAGGGCATAAGAAATATGCAATGCAAAATAAGACAAACCTCAAAAAAGTTTGTTCTTAAAAGTCCAAGAAGCAGGGCCAAGGTGGCGTAGTTGGTTGAGCTTCCGCATGCGATGCCAACATCCCATATGCACCAGTTCATCCTGCTAACTCACCTGGGAAAGCAGCAGCAGATGGCCCAAGTGCCCGGGCCCCTGCACCCACGCCCGTGCACCCACACCCCTGCACCCACACCCCTGCACCCACACCCCTGCACCCACACGAGAGGCCAGGAGGAATCTCCAGGCTCTGGCCTCCGCCCTCCTTAGCCCTGACTGTCGGCATTTAGAGTGTGAACCAGTGAATATTTGATCTCTCTGTAACTCTACCTTTCAAATAAATAACAAATAATTTTTTTAAAGGGGTCAGAAAGACAAGTCTTTCATCGCCAGCTCACTTCTCAGATGCCCATGCAGCCAGAGCTGGGTCAGCAAAGCTATGAGCCCCAAGCTCCCTCTGCGTTTCCCGTGTGAGCAGCAGGGACCTAGGCCCCATGCCGTCATCTGCTGCCCCCAGGTTGCATTGGCAGGAAGCTGGACAGGAAACGGCAGCAGGCACCAGAACTGGCCTTCCAGTGGCCATGCCTTGCTGACCGTGCGGTGCCAGTGGCCGCCCTGCTTTCTGCTTAGCTTTGTTCTGGCTGTGCAGATGCGCACCTGCCACCTGGGTCACACCCGTGAAGTTGCTGCAGGGTTGGTGTCGTGCGGCCTTGTCCCGTCTCCTAGGACTTGTGTACCTTCAGGGCTGTTCATCTTCCATGAGCTGTGGGAGAAGGGCCATGTCCACCTTATGCCTGTGCTACTCCAGTTTTCCCAAAACCACTCACTGCAGTGCCCGTCTTCCCCTCTGCCAACCCAGACTGTCAGAGATCCGTGAGACACACATGGATTTACTCCTGGGCTCCCATGTCTGTCCCATCGGTCCAGGCCCTGTCTGTGCCCGCACAGTTTGTCTGGATCCATCCGGCTTAGTAACGTGCTTTGAAATCAGGACGCATGACGCCTCCGCCAGTAGCCAGAAGCACTAGCAGGATCAGCACATGGCGACCCCAGGAGGGTCACACCCCAGGACCTCACACCTGTCAGGAGGTGTGCAGCTGAGGATGGCAGAAATGCGGACAGAACCGGTGCTCACCGAAGAGGGTGGCACATTCTCACAGTTAAAAATGGGTCTCTCCTGGGCTCCAGGGCCCCGAAGGAGTGAGATCAAGATTGGAAAGAGCAAATTCCGGTGGGCCCTGCGGCACTCCTTGCCCTGGCCACCGTGGCCACTGGCGGGTGGAGGCGACATGGTGCACACAGAAGCACGAAATGCCTGCGTGACCCGGAAGTCCTTGGCCTCAGAGGAAAGAGATCCTGCTGTGGGTGACCGCACGCGTCCACCTCGGGGCACGACACGGGGGAAGGCAAGCTTGGGCTCGCCATGCTGCCCACAGGCTCGAGGGCAGACATGTCAGGGCTGCGAGGGCCCACAGGAGCTGCCCATCGGCGAGGGCTCGGAGGTGAGTCCGTCCTGGAACCTGCTGGACGATGCCATTCCCGTGGACACCAACACTGTACCCCCCACTCGCCAGGCTCGAGTGTCAAGTGTCCTTCTCACGGGATTAAGACCAAACTCTGTGGCCCACGGAGCTGCTGGGTTGGGGGGCTCTTGCTCTGGTTGGACCCAGCAGGGTCAGGCGTGGCTGCTCCCCCAGAGACCCTCCTGTTCCACAGGGGTCTAGGGGGACTCTGTCCCTCTCCGGGGCCAGCAGTTTCTCCTGGAGCAAGTTTCAGGGCAGCGTCCCAGCAGACAAAGCCTGCTTGTCTTTCCAGATGGTTCCACTTAGGATGCGGTTTCACTGGCATCCGGAGTAATTGGCAGATGCGCTCAGGACCCCTGGTCCAAAAGCACAGCCCCAGGACCGCCGGAGCCCAGCTGTGGCTAGCATGTCCAGAAGCGGCCCACGGCCGGCCACACACAGGGCCGGACTGCAGCCCCGAGGGCCCCGTCAGCAACCACCTCCTTCCCAGCAGCTGTGAGCGCTTCGCCCTCGCTGTCACGTTCTCCCTGTAGGCTTTTTTGGAAAACATGAAAGCCCAGCGTTTTGTCCCTGCCCTGCATGCATCTCCCCCGCTGACACAACGGGGCACCCGTTGACCCAGGGACACACAAACCACAAGCGGGGCACCCGTTGACCCAGGGACAGTGTGTGGATGGACCAGGGTGTCGACCTGGGTGTCGGATCTACATTCAGCTGGAGTCGGCACGCGGTGCTCAGAGCCTGTTCCTGGAACGCACATGCATTTTTCCTGGACGCCTCTGAGAAACTTCAAATGCTCCTGTAGTATTCCCGTAATCACCAACCAACCTGGGTTAGTCGACCCAGCAGAGTTACCCACTGGGCCACAGTTCTAATCTTTTGCTTGAATTTCATGTTGTTGTTGTTTTTTTTTTAAGATTTATTTATTTTTTTAAAATTGGAAAGTCATATATACAGAGAGGTGGAGAGACAGAGAGGAAGATCTTCCATCCGATGATTCACTCCCCAAGTGGCCACCATGACCAGGGTCGATCCAATCTGAAGCCAGGAACCACGAGCCTCTTCTGGATCTCCCACGTGGGTGCAGGGTCCCAAGGCTTTGGGCCATCCTCGACTGCTTTCCCAAGTCACAAGCAGGGAGCTGGATGGGAAGCAGGGCTGCCGGGATTAGAACTGGTGCCCATATGGGATCCCTGGATATGCAAGGTGAGGATTTCAGCCACTGGGCTACTGTGCCAGGCCCTAATTCCATGCTTAATTAAAATAGCGGCTGATACCGCAGGACACAGCTGACGCTGAACTCTGAGGCACAGTGAAGCTGCGGTCCAGAGAGCAAATCGTGTGGAATCAGGCACTGTCCGCCTTGGTCACTCGGGCATCAGGCCTGAGTGGCTGCATTGGTCGGGCCAGTGAATTCCAGAGCCTAAATATCACTCGACGCTCCCAGGTCCCAGCAGCACCCACGCCTGCAGCAGGAGCTGCCTGGAGTCTCACCATGGGCTGGGAAGGCCTCGAGCTGACGCCCACAGGAACACTGACCCACTTCTGTCCACTGAGGGGGCTGTGAGCTCACACCCCCAGCAGGGTTCCCTCACCCTGGCGGAAGTGGCTTGGGCAGCTGTCATATCCACTAACTGAAACGAAGCAGCAGCGGAGTGGACAGAGGGGACGTTCACTCTGCTTTGTTGATCACCGTCTAGCCCTGTGCGCTCCTCCAAAGGTCACTTCACACCAGGAGGGTGCTGGGCTGTGCCCTGCTCATGCTGCATCATGCTGCATCCCTCACCCGTCCTGGAGAGGAGAGGGCATGGTGCCTGCCACGGTCTGTGCCAGAGCAGGTGGACCCTGTGGCCAGCCAGAGAGCTGAGTCACAGTGCTCCATTTGAGCTGGAAAATGTGCTGTGTGGATGAGCAAGTGTTCTTTCAGAAACGTTGTCTTTTGAAACCGCAGAACAATGACCTTGTCCAGGTGTCTTACACACTTGAGTCCCGAGACTGCCCCCCTCAACGGCCCCCACGGCAGCTGTGGTTGCAAGTCTGGGTTGTGGAACCCAGTGTGAGCTGAACAGAAGTTGCACTGGACTCTGCTGGGCTCAAGTGGGAGGTACTGGCTCCACTGGCCGTGTCCCCGGGCCCCGAGTGGACAAGCTGGGAGCCACAGCCACACTTGGGCACGCTGGGAGCCACAGCCACCCTTGGGCACTTAGGGCCAGCCTGAGTGTGGGTGTGGGTGGGAGCCGCCCAGAGCGAGCTGTGGTTTGTGGCCCTGTCTGCTCCAGAGTCCTCAGCCGGCAGCTGGCTTGGGGTGTCTCGTCCAGCGGATCCCACCACCTGCGTCCATTTCCAGATCCAGCCACAGCCCTGGTTATTCATGGCTGACAAGTCCCTCCTGTTATAACAGCGGCCGTACATGCCGCAGAAAACGCGGAGATGGCATCCTGGCCCCCCCGGGCCACACCCTCACCGGGAAGCAGCTGCCAACAAATGTTGCTGCGTTCTCTTCTTTGCCCTGCTCTTCTTTCTCTCCGGTTGCAGAGGCAGAGAGGAGCAGGAAGGACATGACCCGAGGGGCCTCCTTGGCACCCGCCCTGCACGTGGGCCCACTGACCCTGGCAGCGTGTGTGTGGGGAGTGGGCAGTCGCTCCAGCCCTTGGTGCCCAGGAGGCTGGCTCTTGTGTTCACACGCTCTCACTGGTCACATTTCCTGTGGGTGGAGAGCATGTGAAGGCACAGCCTGGCTAATCCGAGCACCTGGCAGCAGGTGAAGCCCAGGCAGCGTCCTGGCTGGGAGTGTGGTCCAGCCCTGGCCAGAGCTGCGGAAACTGCTGCTCAGTGGTCACTTTGCACAGCAGTTAAACCATTGTCCAGGGGGGGCAGTGCTCTGGTGTAGAGGGTATAGCCACCACCTGTGGCACTGACATCCCGTATGGGCACGGGTTTGAGTCCCGGCCGCTCCACTTCTGATCCAACTCCCTGCTAGTGGGCTGGAAAAGCAGTGGAGGGTGACCTAAGCCCTATGTCCCGGCACCCATGCAGGGGACTGGGAGAAGCTCCTGGCTCCTGGCTTTGGACCAGCCCAGCAAGAGTGAATCCACAGATGGAAGATTTCCGTAACTCTACCTTCCTGTAGATCTTTAAAAAGATGCTTTTGGGGACACCTGCACCCCCTGAGCCCTGGCTCTGCTCCCTGCCGAGCTCCCGGGTGGCACTGGACCAGGGCTGCAGTCCTTGGTCCCTGTCACGCATGAGGGAGCCCCGAGGGAGTCCCTGGCTTCAGCCTCACTCAGCACCATGTGAGCGCTCGGGAGACCACCTGCCTCCTTTCTCTCTCTTTCTGCTTTATGAATAAATAAAAATGTTTTAAAAATCACACAAGATTGAACTTCTGGGGCTTGCACAGCCATGGGACTCATCTGTGGCCTTTGGAACCTGAAAGTGGCCTGGGTTCCCGGGGGACTCGCTTCCCTGGCCCTGTGGGTCTCCGTGGGGCTCGCAGCCCCTGGGACGCCCCGTGCAGACGCACCGAGTCTGTGAGCAGAAACACAAGCAGTACCTCCGTCCGGTGCTACAGGAAGGACGGGCCTGAAGGACGCCTGCTGAGCCTCCCCACAGCAGCCAGCCGCTCTGTGGCCCCCTCCCCTGCAAGCCTCTTCAATCCCAGCAGCAGAGCCCGGGCCTGACCAGTCCTCCTCTCCTGAGAAGGCAGCCTGGAGACGCTGTGGAGGGCACACGGCTCTGAGACCCGCAGTGTGGGAGCCCATGTGGCCATAGGCAAGAGTCCAGGCCAGCCTCGGAGCTGTGCCCACGTGGGTGAGACACAGGTGTTTCCTGCAAGCACCCAGAGACGAGCATGCCCATCCTGGCCCCCGAGCACTTGTGCCAGGTTAGAGCAGGTTGGAGCACGTACTGTCAGTGAGTGTGCGCATGTGCACACACCTGAGGGGTACATTCTACACACAGCCCGCACAGCCAAGGTCAGTGGACGCCCTCACAGACCCACCGAGGGCTGCCTCCACGTCTCCCGTGAACACCCTCACAGACCCACCGAGGGCTGCCTCCACGTCTCCCGTGAACACCCTCACAGACCCACCCGAGCGGTGCCTCCACGTCTCCCGTGAACACCCTCACAGACCCACCCGAGGGTGCCTCCACGTCTCCCCCGACGCCCTCACAGACCCTCCCGAGGGCTGCCTCCACGTCTCCCCCGACGCCCTCACAGACCCTCCCGAGGGCTGCCTCCACGTCTCCCGTGAACGCCCTCACAGACCCTCCCGAGGGTGCCTCCACGTCTCCCGTGAACGCCCTCACAGACCCTCCCGAGGGTGCCTCCACGTCTCCCGTGAACACCCTCACAGACCCACCCGAGGGTGCCTCCACGTCTCCCACGGGAGACCCCCACGCAGGTGTAGGGATGAGAGATGCAGCCCTGTGTGTGGGAAGTGGGTGAGGGGCCTCAGCAGGGGTGGGATGGGGGAAGCCAGCAGCTTTCCAGGGCCGGCTTCCTGTCTGAAGTGTTTCCCTGGAGAGACCACCACCATTTGATCTATTTTTGATTAAAATGTAAAAATTAAAAATGAAATCAAATGGTGACGTCACTCCTTGGGGAGAACACGGTGGGTGAACATTCCCTGTGGTCCCCTCGCGTCGGCTCAGCTGTGGGTGGTCTTTTTATGTCACTCATAATTAAAAGGCGTTTTGGGGGGTACCTCGGCATGAGGCCTGCACCTGTGCTTCCAGAAGGTAGAGCTGCCCAGCAGCAGAAACACAAGGGTGTCCCTGACCCAGCCCTGTAAGTCAAGACTCCCCCACTCCATGTCCCCCCAGCACGTTGCAGCTCCCTTCACAGCCCAGCCAGGATAGTGGTCTGGGGTCTCCTCTTGGTGTGTCCCAGCCCGGAGCAGCAGCAGCAGAAGGACTTCCTGCCATCCTGTTCCGGGACAGTGTCCCTGGCCCAAGTACCCTACTTCCCAGGCTGGGCACCACACCGAGCTGGAATGCCGAGGCAGCCTGGAATTCCTAAACTGGGGGAAGCGGGGGTCCTGGGCGCTCCTGCATGCACTGCTGGGTGACAGGCTGATGGGGACAGGGCACCTCCAGCCCACTTCCGTGCCACCCCTGAGGGCAGGTGCTGGGATTTGCACACGCTCCTGTGTGCCCACATGATGGAATGCCAAGAGCTCAGCACCTCCCTGCTATGCTACCTGCTACATCTGCAGGGTCTGTCCTGTGGGCCCTGGGGGATAGAACACAGGTGGTCCACTCCGGCCTTCTTGTGAGGCAGCCAGGGTTCCCTGGGGTGAGAGTGTGAGAGAATCCGTGGGGTGCCGCGAGGAGCCAGGCCCAGGAGCAGGCCGATAGCCAGGTGTGATGGGACCGCAGATGCTCCCGGAGCTGGTGCAGGTAAGTAGGGATGCTTCAGAAAGCTCAGCCCTCACCCTGTGTGTTGACTGCCTGGTAAGGAGAAGGTGCAGGAAGGCCGGCCTCGCCGTTGGTCACGGGTCTGTCCTGGACACCAGCATCCCGGGGTCTCTGATCGCCAGGCCCAGACTTGAACTCATACCTGTGACCCCCAGTTCTCAGAGTTTGGGGTTTGTGGGAGTCTAGGCTGCAGGAGCGATGAGCCGGCCCCCAGTCCTAAGCCCGGCTCTGTATCGGGTGTCTCCTGTCCCTTCCATTGCTCTGGGAGTCCTTGGTGCCCGGCACCCAGCGTGAGTCAGTCACTACGTGTGGTGTCTCCCCAGGCACTGCCTTGACACCCCGCCTCCGGCACCTCGTTCCTGTCAGGGCTGCCTTCTCTGGGCCACCCTCCCCCTGCGCAGTGGTGTTGAATGGGGGAGCTGGGCTGGTGTGGGCTGGAGGTGCGACCCACAGGTTAGGACCAAGATGGGGCCCCGGGGCCAAGATCATCAGCTGGCTTAGAAAGCCCGGGGCAGCAGGGCTGGGACCCCACCTCCCACCAGTGTTGCCCCGAGCAGACTGTGGGCAGGAAACACACAGGGCCAGGGAGGGGCGGCAGGAGGCATGGGGCCGCAGTGGACCTGGCTGGACCCCGGCCTGCTCTCTGCAGTCAGCGCATTTCTGCTCCGGCCAGCATCACAGTGCCGAAGGCCCACCCCGATGCAGAAATGCGATGTTCTAGACATAAACCAGAAGCTCCTGTCAGGGGCGGGGCCCGTCTTTGGGCATACCTGTCACCCGCTGGCCTGGATGCCACCAAGTCAGGTCTCTCCATGCGGCCTGCATCAGCCTGCAGCCTCTGACACTCGTTCCTCTGTCACGAAAGAATTAAAGACAACATCTTAGGTAGGAAGCAATTGCGGAGGGCGCAAGTTTCTGGCCAGGCAAATAAATTGGATTTAAGTATATTACAGTCATAATCTTTTTCTGCCCCTCTCCAGACGGTCTCTGTACATGGAAAATGAGAATGTATTCGCAGCCAGAGCTTGACCTGAGGGAGCAGCCTGCCGGAATCTGGATTTTCAATAACATAAGACAATAAAGCTTAGACTTCTAACCTGCTGCAATATGGTAAAAGTATAAAGAGCTTAGCTGCTAATAAAAGGGAAGGGTCTGCCCCTCATATTTGAAGATCTGGACCCCCCAGAAGGACACTTCATAAAGATCAGGATGGGTTAGCCGGGATCACGCAGACACGAGGCCTCTTGTTGACCCATTGTCTGACAGTTGTCGCCTATGGGGCTGATATTAAGAAGTCCCGTGTAGATTTCCTTGGGGTATTTTTGTCCCTGTAATTGCACATCTTCCTGGCTCTGTGTTGGGCTACAGTTACTTGGTGGCCAGGTATGTGTGTACCCTGACTCCTCCCCCTGAGGGGACAGCCCCTACACTTACCCTCACCCCCACCCCGGGGCCAGGGAAGTGTCTGGACCCCAGGACAGAGGGCAGCACCGGCTGCCGCCCCGTGGCCACTGGGCACCCTGCCGTCCAAGAGAGCCTGCTCTGAGTCTGCCATCTTGTCCGATACTTGAGATCAGCAGTTGGCGACTGGCTTGCTCCCCGTGGTGCTGCATGGTCAGTCGCTGGGTGGATGCAGGGAGGCTGGGCAGCAGAGCTCGAGCAAATGGGCTCCTCTGACCCAGCATCCGGCTCTGCTGAGCTTCGATGCCAAGCCGCTGCCACTGCCGCACCCCAGCGTTGCCTGTCCCCAGGCCCTCTGGCCACTGCCAGGCACTTCTTGACACTGAGTTGACAGAGCACTCCCACTGCATTCTTCACAGGCCTAGCCGTCCACAGCTCGCAGGATGCTGCTCTGCAGCGGTTTGCCTTCTCAGCGTGGCCCCCAGGACGGTGTGAGCCACACTGGATGCCCCTAGACAAACCTGCAAGCTGCAGGCCCTGCTGGGCACGGGTCTTCCCTGGAGCCCCCTGCTTGCTCCTGGGCAGGATGGAGAGACACAGCCCGAGGCTGCGTGCACCTTGCTGTCTTCCACGGTGTGTCACAGTCGTCATTGAGGCCCGTGTCCTGCTCCCTGAGGTTGTCAAATGTGGCACGGGATCCGGGAACCATCAGGTGCCACAAGGGCAAGGGTCGCTCCTCTTGGGGTGGAGGCACTGGGCAGGGCTGCCAGAGGGCACACAGTGACCTGCCTACCTCAGAGTCGGGCTAAGGAGAGTGTCAGGAGCCAACACCAGGCCTCAGATGGAGCCAGTGTGGGAACCATCCTGGCTATTGCTTATTGTTGCCCTATGGTGGGGGGGCAGAGGGGATGCCCACGTCTCACCAGGAAGCCCAGAGTTCAAGACCCACCTGGGCTGCCGTTCAGACAGACGGGGTACAGGACATGGGCGCCCAGCCTGTGCAGTGGCCTCAGCATCATCAGTAACCTCTGTCTGTGTCCCTGCCTGTGTCACTCCCCACCTGTGGCTCCCCATGTGTCACTCACCAACTTGGCTCCTGTGTCTGTCTGTCCATTCCTTCCTTCCTTCCTTTTTTTTTTTTAAGATTTATTTATTTATTTTCATTGGAAAGACAGATTTACAGAGAGAAGGAGAGATAGAAAGATCTTCCATCTGCTTGTTCACTCTCCAAGTGACTACAGTGGCTGGAGTTGAGCTGATCTGAAGTCAGGATTCAGGAGTTTCTTCTGGGTCTCCCACGAGGGTACAGGTCCCAAGACTTTGGGCCATCCTCGACTGCTTTCCTGACCACAAGCAGGGAGCTGGATGGGAAGTGGAGCAGCTGGAACATGAACCAGTTCCCTTATAGGATCCTGATGCATGCAAGGCGAGGATTTATGCCCTAGGCTATCGCACCGGGCTCTCCTCTCTCCTTCAGCTTCTCCACCAGAATCTGAGGACCATGCAGGCTGCTGGGGCCAATGTGCATCCCCTGGAATTGGCTGTGGGAACGTGGCCCCCCTGTGCCTTCCTTGCAGTCAGAGCCTGCAGGAGAGAACAGGATCCGGTCATGCTATAGAGCTACAGTCCGCGCCGGGGGAAGGATGTGCGGCTCCCTGGAGCTCCTTCCTGCTCCACCTGTGTGGACCCAGTGAGGGAGCGACTGTCTGCAGGCCCAGGACAGACTGCTTGTCAGACCCTGGCTCAGAGCTCGCCACAAAGCCACAAGGAAACGAGTGGCTGCTGTCAGGCCTCTCCGCCTGCAGTGTCTTGATACAGTGGCTGGACAGGTGATGCAGAGGCCCGCGGGAGTCGTCTTTGTTAAGTGCAGCCAGCATGGGGTGAGCATGTGACGCACGGCAACCCCTTCACTTCCCAGCTGACCCCTGCAAATCAGGATGCCACTGGAGGGTGTAGAGAGGACGCAAGAGGAGTCACGTGGCAGCATGCAAACCATGAGGGCTTCAGTGCTCCACAGCACAGGGGTGGTGGACCCTCCTGTGAACATCCTAACCCCTCCTAAAGTGGCACGTGAACCGTCTCGCTGCCAAGGAACAGCACTGATGTTTGGAGCCGGGGTCTTTAGGGAGTGGAGGTGGCATGAGGTCGTGGAGTGGGCTCTGCTCTGACGCGGTGGGTGTAAGAAGAATAGGACAGTACTGTTCAGAGGTGAGCAGGCAGGAAGGCGGTGGCCACCAGGGAGAGAAGCTCCAAGGACACTGTAAGCTGGCACCTTGATCCTGCACTTCTGACAGTCATAACTGGGAGACAGTGCGGTGGGGTTGGTTAAGCAGGAGTGTGTGGTTCTTACAGGTGATGGCAACATGGGCTAATTAGCTCAGGCACAACTGCCCACAGCTGCTTTTCTTCTCATCCTAGAGAGAGCTGGCTCTTCATTTCTCCATCCGTTCACTTGCTGCTGAGGCTTCCAGGTGTGGAACAAACATGGGACCAGAATTGTAATGGAGCAGATAATTCCACTGCCTGCACTGCTAGCATCCCAGATGTATGTTGGTTCATGTCCCCACTGCTCCACTTCTGCTGCCT